CGGAGGAAAATTCCGTGTTGCCTAGACCACGGCCTTGCCCAACACAAGTTATAAATTCGGGCACCGCCGGGAATCGAACCCGAGACCCCAGGATTACAAGGCCAGCGTTCTAACCGCTAGACCACCGTGGCGGTTATGTACACAGTTACACGTCGTTTCTCAGTGACTTACTTTGGTGGTGCCTGGTCTGGTCGACTGCTCCAATCCCAAATCCAGTCTGTGCTGCGATCAACATTCATAAAGTCCCCATCCTGCAACGAGCAGAATTTCATGTCAGTTCTTTACCTAAAATATATATCAATATACTTACTTAATAAGAACAGAAAGGTGATACCTCAATTTTGAGCAAATGCATGATTCAAAGATTTTCTTTGAGATTTGAAAACCTCATTGGTTTCAATGTTAATTTACTACAGATCCAAAATCTATTATTGAAATATTCTGCATGTAGGAATTACCTATTCTTTGTTTCACGAAATATTCCATCACGTCAAAAAATGTTTAATATAAAAATTACAGGCCTTTATTTCACATACAACTTGGCTGTATTGTGAGCTGTTGACTAATATAATGAAGTTAAATCTGAGCTTCATGTAGGGTACAGCAGGGGATGATATGGACCAAAATGAAGTTCATTCCACAGTTCTGAGTTCATAACCCCAATATAAAATTTCATAAATAAACATAGCCTAGTTTTGACAATGAACGTGCAAATGCACAAACATGAGCCCTCCAATGTTTATTCAGTTCATGTACTTTGTGAAAATCACTCATAAAGAACGATAAAATAACCATATGAAATCCAGTGACCAAAAATAAATGTTATTTCTCTGTACCCTGCATCACATTTTACTGGTGTTTTCAAACCGAGATCAAATAGACGGCCTTGCCACATGTGAGAGTGACGAAAAATGCACAAACTGTTTTAGTCGGAAATCATAACACAAAGAGACCCTTCACATGGGAGGATTACAAAGGATTTTAAACAAATAGGATTTAGAGATGTGGACTGCATTCATTTTACCAAGGACAGAGGCTAGTGGCAGGCTCTTATAAGCACGAGCCTTCAAGTTCCATTAGACAGGGGATTTATTGAGTGACTGAGTGACTATCAGCTTCTCAAGAAGAAATCCACTCCATGGAATTAACAAGCCTCGAACCAAATCCCTCAGTCTCACTTTGAGGTGTGAAACATTTCATTTGGAAATCGACTTACATAATTAAGATGTGAGGTTCTCGGTCTGTTAAAGATGTTGATATTTTAAATTGTAATACTTGTAGGTAGATATCAAATTTTCTGTGAAAAGTGGCTTATCTTGAGAGATCCGAGGGAACCCAGCCAGGATTCCTGTATCCCAGCGGAGATCCCAACCGTGTACGTCCGGAATACAAGGCTAGAACGTTACCGCTATATTAACCTGCTCTGTCGACATTCATAACCGTGTCGACGTTGTGTCGTCAAATGAAACAAAGAAGTCGACCATTACGAAAACAAAAGCAAGCCGGATGCCCGCTTACAACATTTCGCTGTATTTCAATCAGAAAACGACGGAACATCCCATGCTTAGGACACGTGGAGGGAAGCTTGAACGACCCGAGCGCTCACCCACGCCAGTGGCAAGTGATCAAGTCACGTGTGGAACTTCGCCTGACCCAATGACCTCCAAGGCCTGTCTGTGATCAAACGATAAAGGAGCCAATAAAAATGGTATTCCAGTTGAACCTTCGGGGGAAGGGAACTATACCTCGCATAAATTAAGAGTTTCAATCTGCGGCCCGCGACAACTTTTCACGTGGCTCCTTTAACATATCAGCAAATAATTTATAACTGGGGGCGGTCCTGGGGAAAGGCAAATAGGGGTACGACGGAACTCGTTTGATTCTGTGTTTCAATCAATCTGATTTTGTTGAGCAGTCAGTTCATTGTTTGGTGTGGTGTGTTGTCAACTAAAAACAGGTAGCTAAGACCCCTTAAGACAGCTGGTCAGTGACCTCAAAGGAGTGCCTATCAGCCATCATCGGCGAGATTTTCATGTTGTGTTAATTACAGAACTGAGTTTGGTAAAGTCTCATGCTTACTGAAGTAGATGTCCAGGATTTCCCAATGTGCACTGTTGACAAGACTTAATTTTAAGTATGATTTAAGGTTTTCATGGCTGTGAGTCTGAAGATGGCTGTCTTCTGGGTTGTTGCGCCGTGTAGTCTGGTGAGAAATTTACCAATGTTTCAGAGGTCCTTGCTGCCTCCATCATCAGAGCGATACCTCTGAAACGTCGGTATATTTCTATCAGACTACAAAGCCAGACAGCCATCTTCGGACTAAATTTACGTTTGTTTGCTTTCGGATAGAATTGCGACAGTTTCCTGTCAGGCAGAAATATAATTCTTTTCAAAGTTCTTCTTTGGATCGTCCAGTCCGTCGTTAATCACTGACTCAGCTACCCGGCTCTCGCTTTGTGTTGTCTGTATTAAAGAATCACCGATGTGCACTTTTAAGGTGTAATCCGAATTGGCACCTTAAAAATGGGATCAAATGTTAATTCTTCTGGGGAGAAAAGGCTGGTTCATGTTTCACATTTCTACGGTTAGTTCTGGCTGTAGAGATAACTGAGTGCTTCAGCTCTCGTAGCACATTATATATTTCACTGTGACCCGTCTGCCTAAAAGGTTTATCATCCCTGGTACGACAGATTGTCAACGACCACCAGTCTCTGTGCACTGTTGAGCATCGTTGTAAAATTTCAGAACAAATACACCACACCATGCGACAAACAGATAATGGCTTTGACGATAAGACATAACTGGTATCAACGAATCATATGTTTACGAGAAATCTTTGCAGCGAATGGAAAAACAGCCCATACATTCACACTGGAGTTGCAAGATGAGCATAAACACCAAACCAGGATCTTGGCGGATATTTTCAGAACTAGGAGCAGCCTCCGAACTGTCCTCGCCAGTTACCCCGAAATTGATGACGTCATGTAGCCCAACATTAATTACATTACTAACAACGCTGTTTCAACTGATAGGTTATGCAGTACCAAGGGGCGACGAGATGGTCCGAGGCTATTTAACGACCCTGTTTCAAATAAATAGCTTCTACAGCATCAACTGTGATGATTGTAAACGCCGAGTTTGATTCCTAAATGATCCAACATCGCTGTTTCAACTGCAGAAGACAAACAACGTAGTGCAAGTTTGAAGGACGATCATGAACGGTGAACAGGTAAGGATTTAGAATGAAGTGGTCGTAGCCTATTTTATAGTAGGACTGTGAAATTGACCAGGGAAGACTGCGGAAAACCATGAATACCCGAGTCAAGATATTCACCGACATGACAGGGATTCGAACCGGATATCTCTGGATCTGCAGACCACCAGACCTACCATTACACCACCCACTCAGCAGTAGACACGTCTCATCTATACAGTACAGTGATCGCTACAATCATACCATCCATCATCAGCTAACACAACACTTTTACCTTCCACAGTCGAAACAAACCAATTATTTCATAATCAGATTCAGCATGTATAATCATCCTTCCATCACTGTCAACGTTTTCGAAGCTATTCAACTGAAACAGCGTCGTTAAAACGCCTAATAATTGGTCTCACCATTCAGGTCGTCTCCCTATCGCCAGTCGGCACTGCAGAAACAGCATTGTACGAGGTGCGATCGGAAGGTTTCCAGACTGCGCGTATAAAAACCCGTACACTTATCTCAGGTGTTAAATTCATCCATCACCCTCGAAGTAGTTCCCCTGGGAGTGAACACAACGATCCCAGCGCCGCTGCCAAGCCTGGAAGCATCCCTGGAAATCTTTCTTTGTCACCCTGTCAAGCACCATCTGCGATTCTGCCTGAATCTCTT